TTAAATTCCACACTTATGCCGAAGGTACTTCTCAGATCCTAAAAATTCTAATCCATGCACGCGTTTACCACAACATGAACAAAGATATTTGAGGAACCAGCACTTCCGACAGCAAAATCTCTCTACAGGCCACCAACTACTTAATCCGCTGCCCCTTGCAATGCCTATTCCTCAGCACCCAACTATTTTTAGGGACAATGCAACAAGGCAGGCTTTAAAACTTAACCACTCTCCTTGTCAACATGGTTGCTGATGGGGGCATGAATGTCCCAGAACTCTCTGGGTGTTCTGCTGGTCCCATGACCAGAAAACGTCACTCATCCAAAGTGCTTTTTCTAAACATCGGAGTAACGAGGGGGTGGCCCAAGGCCACCCTACACACACTCGGGCCCCCTCGATGTCTTCTCTGGGGCCCTGCAATCTTTGCTGTGGGAGGCCACCCCCTTTGCCACTCCTTTCTTACCCTAGGCTGTTCAAACAAACTCAGGAAGTCTTAGATAAGAGGCAGATGGTGAGGGAGAGAAAGTCTGTAAGTAACAGCTCTGTTACATAATGCTAAGCACAGAACCTCCTAGAACTAGCCCCAGAACCATCTCCCGGCCTATCACATCAGAATAAACAACTACACAAAACAGGCAACAAGAGAGAACATTATAATTTTTTTTATTTGATGGTCAGTGTACCATCGTATTAGCAAATATAATACCAACACATCAGTAAATACCATGTGCGGGTAGGACTGGATTCTTCAAGATAGTGATCATTCATTCTTTCAAGTGATACTTGTGTAACACCCAGTGTCTACAAAGCATGAGCCAGCCTCACAGGAAGACACTTTGTAACCTCATCTGGGCCACATTACCTGTGGAAGTCATTAGTGATCACTCACCTCTATCCATTTCCCCCTTTTTCAGGACAAGAAATACTGAATTGTGGGGCGCCTGGGTGGCTCAGTCGGTTAAGCGACTGCCTTCGGCTCAGGTCATGATCCTGGAGCCCCTGGATCGAGTCCCGCATCGGGCTCCCTGCTCGGCAGGGAGTCTGCTTCTCCCTCTGACCCTTCCCCCTCTCGTGCTCTCTGTCTCTCATTCTCTCTCTCTCAAATAAATAAATAAAATCTTTAAAAAAAAAAAAAAGAAATACTGAATTGTGGTTTCAGTGGGGTCCTAGCACTTTCTGGCCAAAGCAATGTAAGTCACTTCTGGGCCCAATCATGTCATTAATACAGCAAGATCCTCTAGTTTCCATTCCAGTGCTGCACACTCAAGATCACACCTCCATCAGTTTGGGTCTTCGGGTGACTGCGACAAGCAGGGCCTACCTGCTGACCACGCCGGGCACACAGCACGGGAAAGAAAGAAACTGTGTTTAGCCACTGAGATCTGGAGGTGATTTCTTACTGCAGCATAACCTAACCTAAACTGCCAATAACATCGCTGCTTTAAAAAAGAGAGAAACCTGCAAAAGTTCCTGTCCCCCATCTGTTTTCTAAATCAGATAATACCCAAAAAGCAGAGTTTGTTTCAAAATTCAAGTAATTCTTTCCAATGTAGATGGTGCAGACAGGATAGACAGGTTCAAGCAACTCTGAGGGGGATAAGGAATGAAACAGAATGACCTTTCAACAACAGTGAAATCTAAACATTTGTGTGGAATTCAGCTGCAGAGTTTAAAGCCTATGAAGAAAAGGTCACCTTCTGACAACAGGTCCAGTCACTTAGGAAGTAGTGATCTCCCCACTGAAAGAGGCATTGAATGACCATATGCTCCTCCCTCAGAAGTCCAGTACCACCCTTTGTTCCTCTCTCTCTGGCTTCCATTGAACTTAATTAGAATCAGGTCTTCCATAAGCTCCCCGAAGGTGGTTCATCTTTATGTCTCCAGACAGCACCCCCCCACCCCTTGGCATTTTTCACAGAACCTATTATTTATCAGGTGCTTGATAAACATCTGCTGAATGACTTAAAGGAACATTGTAGAAAGGACTTGGGCACTGGAGGCAAAGGTTGGTCTAATAACCCTTCTAGGGCCCCCCCCCGAACCACAGCTAAACACACTACTGCAGACCTCTGGGGGTGGGGAGCCTCCACCTAAAAAAAAAACAAAATAAGCATCAATACAACACTTTATTATGATTTATTCCTGCACACTGTTTAAAACCACAGTGAAACTGAACACTGCACTGTGGCTATCTTTGTTCTTGAACGTGCATTTACATGTGCAGGCAGCCGTTTTCCCATGTGGAATTTTGCGTGTGAGGTATTTATTTTTTCTATTAAAAAAAAAAAACCACACCCTTTGTTTCTATTGCATTATTACACTCCTTATTATCCCATCACGTGGCTTTTCCTCTTGCAGGAACACAGCACACACCCTGCGTTATTGCTGACATAAAAATTACTTGTCAGAATCCCTCTGTCCTAGCACCATCACAAATCTGATCTTCCCGAAGTGGTGGCCTTTGTTCGAGCAGGGACCCGATACCTCCTTTACTTCTCCCGGTGATTCCTGGATGCTCCAAGGAGAAGGATACATGCCAGTGTCACTTAGGTTTTCTTAAAGTCACCTTTCAGAACTACCCTAGAGGTGAATGACAAATCCTTCAAGTTCTTAAATTTTAATTTTTCAAGGGATGGCGGGGGGGTGGGGGGGCGGGGGGAGGGCGGGGAATGGTGTGGGAGAATCTGCCACAGACCCTGCGCAGCTGTTGCTGCAGGAGCACCAGGAGCCTCGGGCCCTCAGCAATGCCTTCTTCCTACAAGATGAACCTTGAGTCCACCTCCATAACCACTGTTATTTTCTGCTCCTCGTGCAGGATGCCAGGACTCTGCCCTCTAGGAGACAATGCCAATGCCAAGGTGATCTGACACGTCTGAAGGTGACATTTTCATTGAGCCCCGTCCAGAGAACCCCAGATTTCGTTAGGTTGACATCAAAAGAGAACTATCCTTGGAAAGAAAGGAACAGGCCAGAGTTTTTGGAAAAGAACCAACAACCTAAAGATAAAATGCAGCCTGAGAGCCTAATAGTTCATAGCTACATAAATGGAAACTTAACCAAAGCACCGTTTCTCTGTTCTCTTTCTGCTCCCCCAACTGCCCTCTGTTCCACCTCCCAGGAACTTACTGCTGGCATGTCCCTCCTGATATTGCAAACACTATTACAATGAAGGCTTGCAGGAGAGACATTATTTCGTAAGGTTACTACATTTGACCAATGCCCTAATTGAGCACTGGTCAAATTTACAATCGGCCTTACAATGATACCTTTTCAACAAGCGATATCCATGAACAGACTGAAGCCAAAATATATTACTACAGATAAGAAAGCAGGCATCTATCCAAACCCCACGTTCAGATACAATTGCCTATGTACAGAATACATCAAAATTCCCATCAATGGAAACCCGGTGGAATTGATTCAACCCCAAAGGCGCCCTGCCCTCAACGACTTCTTCAAAGGAAGGTTTCAAGTCATTTGCAATTTCTTTCTCAGAACCAGGAGTTATCAGCAGCCCCCCGCGGCTCTTCCACACAGACAGGAAAGGAATGGTGTGATGCAGAAACCACCCAAACAGCCCCGTGCAAACACTGTTGGCCCAAACGACCCAGGCGGCTACCCAGACTGCTGGGGGTTACCTGAATCTGTCACCGAGTCCCTTTCACCCCCTTCTGTGTGATGACATCAAGTGGAAATGGTACGCGTTTGGGAGGCAAGAGGCTGACAAGCGGGAAGCACAACTGAGCCTGAGCTTTGTTCAGCCTGCAGTGAAATACACGCGGGAAGCGTTAGACTCGCGTAGCAGAGAAAGAAATCCAAGCACCCTCCCCGGCCGGCGGCGGTGAAGTGGGTGCGCGGGGAGGTGGAGGGAGGCGGCGGAGGTGTGGAGAGCCGGCCGGCCGGCCGCGGAGGGGGCGTAACGCTGCCCAATTGTCTCTATAGGATAAATAACCCCCTCCCCCCACGCCGCTGCAGTCTCCCCCGCCCCCAAGTTCTCCTCGGGTGGTAGAGCTTCCACCAGCAACTCTATGTAACCCCTTAGAAAGAAAGAAACACCAGAAGGCGTAGAATAATATTTCGGGGCAAAGACACACTAGCAAAATATACTAGTAAACCGGGTTATCAGGGAATGCGGGGCGCCGGGTCACCCGCCCCGACAGACACACCAGCGCTGCGTTCGCGAGCATCCTCTCCCTCGCCCCTGTCCGCCACCTCAAGTCCATGTCACTGTTTTGCCGATTTCTCCACTCTTTCCAAAACCGTGCAGCGCTCCCCCCGCCCCACCCCCACCCTAGGCGGGATCGGGGACCGCCGCCTCGCGTGCAGCGTCCCACGCGTCCAGCCGGCTTTGTCCTGCCACTGCCCTTCCAGAAGCAAGCGCCCCAGGCACGTGGGTCCGCACAAAAGACCCCCAGCATCTGGCCCGCCACGGCTCCCTCTCCTCCCGAGAGGGGTCCCGGGTCGCGGAGTGGCGCGCGAGGGCAACTTCTGGGGGTGGGGACCTTGCCCGACAAGGGGCGTGCTAGGGGACCGTCCCGCGTGCGTGCGGGGTTGGGGCGCAGCTGGGGCGCGCGCGCACGTGCACCCTCCGGGGTGCGCGCGGCGCGGGCGCGGGCGCGAGACGCGCTCCCTCGGACTGGAGCTCCAGGGGGCATCCGAGGACTCCGCGGAGCCGCCGACAGCGCCGCCCCCCCGCCCCAGCCGCCAGCCCAACTCCGCCGGCGCTCCGGAGAAACGCAACTCCAGGGAGCCCCCTTCCCCAGCGCCCCGGGACCGCCCCGCTGTGCCCCGCACCCCCCTCCCCGGGACCCCCGCGGCCCGCCACCCCCATCCGCTGCCCAAAAGGAGCCCCCAACACACCAGGCGGCGGCTCCCCTTCGCTGCTTCCCTGGCTCCGGGCTCGGCCGCCGTGGGGGCGAAGGCATCCCACCCTTCGCGCCCCTCTCGCCGCCCCCGACCCGGGAGGAGCAGAGCAGAGAAACAAACCGAAAGTCACCGACCTCTCATTGCAACGGGCTCGGGCGCTCCCTACAGAGGCGGCGGCGGCGGCGGCGGCGGCAGCATCGCGGGGTGGTCCCGGCGCGCCCGCCACCCGCTCGGCCAGACGCGCGCGGCGGGCTGCGGGGCGGGCGCGGGGAGCGCGGCGTCGGCGCCTGCAGCCCCGGCTCCCGGCTCGGTCCTTCGGGAGGCGCCCCACCTGCCCGCCGCCCTCGGCGCTCCCGGTCGGACACCGCCGCTAGGCGCTCGGCTCCAAGCGGGAGCTTTTTGTGTCACCGCCCAGACTAAGGCACCGGGGCGGGGTGGGGGCGGGAGGCCGGGCTCCGCTCCCCGCGGCACCGCCCCTCCCCGGCGGCTCCACCTCCTCCACCCCCCCCGCCCCCCCAACGGCGGCTCGTCCTGGACGTCCGTCTGTTGGTCCGGAATCGCACACCCAGCCCCCGAGGGAGGAGCTGCCCACCCTGGCCCGCGCGCTCCCTAGGCCGTGCCCCAAGTGCCCAACCTGGGCCGGGACCTCGATACTGTCTCTGCACCGCGCGCTGGTCGGGGCGGGGGTGGGGACCTGAGCGGCGATCAGGTGTGAGACCGGGTCGCGTTCAGCCGGCAGGAGGGCAGGGCTGGGGTGGGGGCCGAGGCTGGTGGGGACCAGCGTGCGGCTCGCGACCGGGGGACCGAGCCAGGGAGTTGATGTCGCGTTTCCAGAAACTGCCCTGGCATCCGCGTCGCCGCAGATACTTTTTGGCTGCCCCTGAAAGTTCACGTAATCCAAGCAGGGAGCGGTCCTGCTTTTGTGAAGGGGAGGACGCTTCCAAAGAAGCCCGAATGGATACCCCCCACCTGGCTCCATGGGAGGGGGTGCGGGGGGGGGGGGAGGGTAGAGAAGAGGGAGGTGCAAATCCTGAGGATTCTGTGGCAGGTGCGCACCACCGCGGCCCACCTTATTCTCCACCTTGAAACCTAACTTCTACCTTAGGGAACATGCTTAGAATGACTAGTTACTCCAAGAAAATGTAAAGACATGGTCTCTTGCCTCTTGTGTTGACTGCAAAACTGGGGAATGGAGGAGAGGGGGTGGCTGGTAGAGGATGGTATCCATGCTCCTTGGTGCCTTTTTAAAGGATTTCTATGCAGAATGAAGATCCAGAACTCTATTCTATGACTCTGGTAAGGATAAGCCTACCCACTTGCCCAGAACGCCAGTCAAACAACAGAGAGCATGCAGCCTCCTGGCTGCTGGAGTGGAGCTGTTTTATGTTCTGCTGTCTTGTCCACAAAGAAAGAACTCCCATTCTAACCTCTCCCAATAGCTCAGTGAAGTGCTTCTGCCAAGAAAATGAAAAGGAAACCCTGCAAACCATCGAGGGGGCTCTGAATGACCTACTAAAATTCAAAACGTACTCAAGCAAAACCTGTTCATAGTGTTTCCAAATGTGTTGTCACTAAGCACATACAGAAATCGGTCACCAAGAGACAGCTTTATAGCTTTATAGCTTGATGGCTGTCGGTCCTCTCTTAGGCTCCTAAGTAAAGCGTTCACTTGGCTAGCCCGTGTCCTTTTGTTCCCCGAAGTTATAGCCCCACTGTACACCTGTCCAGCAGTGAAAGCTAGATGTGCGTTTCAAAAGCCTCGGGTATACTTGAAGTAGAAGACTTCAGGAGTCTTTATTTTTGGCCTCAAATTTAGGGCAGAAAAAAAAAGGTTTTTTTCAATGAGAAGCTAATGAGAGTATCGAAAACTTCTGATGTTGACCAGGAGCTTGGAATAGGATGGTGTGTTATCACATCCCAAAATTTTACTAGGAACGTTTAGCCTATAAATATTATGATTATTCAAGAAGTGACTTTAAAGACTACTTTTAAGAAGCTAATTTCAGGGACCGGTAATTATTCCAAAATGCTGAAACTCTTTTGTCAGCTGCTTTCAAAACAATTCTTTGGGAGGATTCAAGCATTCAGCATGGTGTGGGGTGACTTCCATCCTTACTCATTCATTCCCGCTGGCTGGTATTTTAATTCACACCACATCCTGGGTGTTCTGCCTTCTGTCCAGTCTTGTAAAGCTGTCATGTAGAGAAGGTTAATTAACTGGGGCAGACTGGGATAGACCAGTTCTAAGACTAGTCGGGGGCCGCGCCGGGGTGGCAGCAACCGTTCGAGTCAGGGGAGGAAGAGGCAATGACACGTCTGAACAGATCCTTCAGTGAGGCAGCCCCGGGAGCAAGGCAGCTGCGACCAGGCCGTGGCCCAAGCTGCAAGCTGGTGGGCAGCGTGGCCAAAGCTTCTGGCCTCCCCGTCCAGACTGAGAACGCTGCCCGTGGTGGGAATGAGCCAAGGGGCCAGGCAGCGTCCGGGGTCTTGAAGAAAGAGGCTTATCAGGATGGGCTCTGGCACTGGGGAACAAGATAAAGATCAGATATTCATGAATTCATCCGACAAGTATTCCTTGAGTGTGGACTGTGTACCGGGAACTTGGCCCTTGGATCAGAGCAGAGAAGAAAACAGACCCAAACTCCTGCCCTCACAGAACACACATTCTAATAGAGAAAGCAGAGAATATACAACATAATAGGTAAAATGAATTGTGTGTTGGGGGGTGAAAAGGGAAACAGGAGCAAAGCAAGCAGGAAAGAGGGTGATGAAGTCTGTGTGAGAAGAGGGCTAAAATTTCAGTTCGGTGGCTGGAGGGGTCCCCCACTGAGAAGGTGCCCTCTGAAGAGCACGTTGCAGGAAGTGAGGGGGCAAGGCAGGCAGTAAACAGGGAGAGTCGCCCTTATCAGACAGGGTACAAGAGATGGGTCTGTACTTCCCACGGGCAAAGGTTGAGATACTAGGACTGGGTCACAAGGTCAGTCAGACCAGTAACACTGACCGATGTTTAGTCACCTGAGGTGGAACGAAAGCCATTTAAATCCCGACAGGGATGAGCTCTTACTCATCTTTGTACCCACAGCATTGAGCACAGTACCCAACAAATGTTTCTTGGGCTGAGCCCTTAAATCTCTGAGAACCTGCGATGGAGCTGAGAGAAATGTGACCCCAGAAGACCAGGGACAGCCCTTCTATTGGGGATGACACTTCCACAAAAGAATGTGACGATCTTGGGGCAGCTGGGTGACGCAGTTGGTTAAGTGTCTGACTCTTGGTTTTGGCTCCGGTTGTGATCTCAGGGTCCTGGGATTGAGCCTTGTGTAGGGCTCTGGGCTCAACACGGAATCTGCTTCAGATTCTGTCTCCTTCTCCATCTGCCCCTCCCCACGCTGGTGCTCTCTCTCTCTCTCTCTCTCTCTCTCTCTCATTCTCTCAAATAAAAAAAATAAATCTTAAAAAAAAAAAGAATGTGATGATCTGTTTCATGGCTTTTTGTGACTGTCTTACCGATCTTTGAAGGCAGGGATTATCTTTTACCTTCTACCCTGAGCACCTAACACATGAAGAGGGAGGGAGAGAAGGAGAAAAACAAGAGAAGAAGGGAAAGAAAGAGGGAATTGGGATGGGAAACAAACAAATCCTACTCAATGCTTATAACCTCTAAAGATCCTAATCCAGCCCAATAATGAGGGTGAGTTTTCTGTTTAACATGTATGAGTTTTATATATTAAAACTGCATCTTGAAATCGAATTACGGAAATAGTTGCACACTTAAAAACAAGGGGATTTTATGGTTTGTAAATCGTACCTCAGTAAAGTTGTTTGAAAACATTGAAGTAGCACCCCATGGTGAGCCAGCTTTCACACGCTGTCAATGATAAGGCAAGGAGGCATATTCAACCAAACACATTATCATCCTTCCTAAACTAATAACAGTTTAAACCAAATTGATTTGTGTGAAATAGCAGAAAATATATTTATTGGTCTCTGCCCCCAGTTCCTGGCCCAGAGCTCCTGAAACCCTTGTAATTTTCTAAGTGATAAGAGCACTAGGAGCATCTTTTGTTCTAATATTTGGCCTTTGACCCCAGTTCCTGACACGGAGTTCCTACACCCCTGGGAATTTCCTGGGGGATAGGAATGTCTTTTGTCCTAATGAGGTGACTCTTGGTGGGCTCCTAGGTGAATGCTGGTCACCACAAACACCAAGCCATGATGAGAAGCTTAGAATTTTCAGCCCCACCTCCCCTTCTTCAGAGAGGGGAAAGCCACTGGAAATGGATTTAATAAATGATCCTATGTGATGAAGCCTACATAAAAATCCCCAAAGTACAGAGTTTGGAAAGCTTTTGGGTAGCTGAATATGTGGAGGTCTGGGGGGAAGAGGTGCACCAAGGGAGGGTGTGGAAACTCCCAACTCCTTCCCATCTTCCTTGCCCTCCACATCTCTTCTATCTGGACAGTCATCGGTATCCTTTATCATATCTTTTATAATAAATTGATAAACAGTAAGTAAACTTTTCCTGAGTTCTGTGAGCCACTCTACCAAATTCACAAAACCAAGGCAGGAGGTGATGGGAACCTCTGCTTTCTGGCCCATCAGTGGTCAGATGCACAGGTGATCACCTGGACTTGCAATTGCCATGGGGGGACAGGGGCAGCAGTCTTGTAGGACTGAACCCTTAACCTGTGGGATCTGTCATCTAGGTAGCGTCAGAATTGAGTTAAATTGTAAGACACCCAGCTGGTGTCACAGAGAATTGCTTGTTGTGGGGGGCGGAGCGGGGGGAACCATACCTTTGGTGACCAGAAGTGTCAGAAGTGGAGTGTTCTATGAACGTAAAGGAGAAACACCCAGGAGGAAAAGTGAGTTTTTCTTATTCACTTTGCAAACTTACTTTTCCCTTATGTGATATTTGCCTCCTTAAGGCATATATAATCTTTTTAAAAGTCAAAAGAAGAGTCTTAAAGTCTACAAAGCCTAGATAGTTTACTAATAATGACTGCTAAAGAGAGTGCACATTTCAAAACTGGTTTTTATTTTGGGGCCCTACTTAAGCCAATTCCGACAGATTAATTATTCTTTTTTTTTTTTTTTAAGATTTTATTTATTTATTTGACAGAGAGAGACACAGCGAGAGAAGGAACACAAGTAGGGGGAGTGGGAGAAGGAGAAGCAGGCTTCCCGCGGAGCGGGGAGCCCGATGCAGGGCTTGATCCCAGGACCCTGGCATCATGACCTGAGCTGAAGGCAGACACTTAAGGACTGAGCCACCCAGACGCCCCCAGACTAATAAACACCTTCTGATAAGGTGTTGTAAGTGAGAAAGGTACTGTATTTGACACACTGTCTAATGTCTTACCTACTTAGAATCAGGTGCTATCTATCTAAGGACAATGAAGCCTCA